ATATATTATTGTTACTAAAATGGCAGAACCATTTCGTTTAGTTTTAAAGGTGATAATTAGGGCTTTAAAACATATTCCGAAAAATATTTATTTATTTTTTTATTAAACAAATTCATAAAAATATTTGGTTATTTTTTTTACTGATTAAAAACTGATTTAAAAAAATCTTGAAAATTTCAAGAAGGGGTTTTTTAAAGTTGTGAATTTTTGAACACTACAATTTTTCAACTGATTTCAAAAAATCTTGAAAATTTCAAGAAAGAGGTATTTAATGTTGTAAATTTTTGAACACTGATTTTTTTTTTGTTAACTGTAAATGAAGTTAAACTGGAAATTTTTTATTTAATTAAAATTTATTTGTAATTTAAAGTTTAATTATTTTTTTTAAAGTCCAAAAAGTCATAGGGGAACAGTATAAAAAACGCAGCCAAAAATTTACGTCAGCTTTTGCTTTTACGATTATTTAAAATTCAAAAATAGGTAATTTTTAAAATTTTCGTTTTTTTTATGTTTGTGCAAAACCAGAACTACTATAAAAGGTTTTGAGATATTCAAAAATTGGAAATATGTTTTTTTCTTTTAGCAGGAAGAACTTCGTCATATGATAAAAGAAAAGTTCTAACTAAAACTCATACAAATCAAAAATGGTCGATTCCAACCATTAACTTTTAGTGCATACAAATAATCTGGTTCAGATAATATTTACCCATGCCTGCTGCAGCAAAGCACATCATCATAGAACGAGTTTAAAGTCGTTTTCATCGACAGCGGCGACAAACTTATGAAACATATGTAATCTCCCAAAAGCGCGTAGGCCTATCAGTCTAAGCCCGTTTCTAATCAAAACTTTAGAAGAACGAACTGCCTCTCAAATCAGATAACCCTTTTTCAAGGCCTTGCCACCACTCCAAATACAAAATGGATATAAAAATATACGCAATCTAATTAAGTTTGGTAATTGAAAATGCATTGGAGCATGAACAGATTGCGCTGTATGCGTATGTAGCGGATTCCAGAAAATTTTAACAATGGCCACATACCTAACCATGCCATCGGGCCTTATTCTGGGTACCTGACTGGTCACAACCGACTGCGATTCCACTTGCATCGAATATATGGGATCATAGGGTCGGAATGTTGGCTCAGCATTGAATATGATCCTACTTCGGACTTTTTCTCTGTTACTGTGCGGCTTTGAGCAGACAATAGCCAAACCCTTTGTTACAAAGAGTTCGCGTACCAGGGTCATTTTAGAAACCAATTAGGGAATCGGAAGGATCTTCCGTTCACTGGTTTAGGGATTCTCTCTTTAAGAGATAAAAAAGCTATTTCAGGTCACGATGTCTCTTGTCCTGTTATAACCAAGCACTAACTGACATACCCAACAACATTCTAGGCGAAAATTTTCGCATCTGCCAGCAAAGAGGCATTTAAAGCCTTAATTGGAAGGAACTTACGTAAAACGTGGTTGGAGGCTAGTAGACAGTTACAAAAGTTTGCTGGACAAACCAGGAACCCGTAGGAAGGTTGGCTTGTGGTGGTCTCCAGGTCATGACAGTTTTTATAGCAATGAAAATACTGATATTTTGCTATAAGCGTAGCCAAACGGACCCGAAGAGAAACACGTTAGGGCTTGTAAGAATATCGGTGGCTCACTGGCGTACGCCAAAGAGTAAAACCCAATTCAAGGGATTTATAGTTTCTTGTAGATGGCGACTCGCGACCACTCCCAATTCTTTTGCGGCAGGGTCTAAGAACTATCACTAACAGAACTCTAAAGCTAAGATACCACCTTTCCTTATTAGAGAGTAGACCACAATAATAATAATTACCATATACGGGAATTCATTGCGCTGTGTGGCAAGTCCACCAATTATACTATGTACAGATGGATAATAACTGGAACAGGCTAAAAAACAAGTTTAAGGTAAAAAAATATAAAAAAAAAACCTTTTCTAAACAAACTAATGTCTAACCTCTCTTTGCGGCATATTCCTTTGGTACATCACGGCAGCATACGAACTGTTCGGAGCGTTCAAAATAACAAGTTTTAAGTCGCTCTCTTGAATCATAAGCGCTCGGGCAGTATCTAATATTACGGCACATACCCTGCTCACCATCCGACAAAGTGCAGTCGATTTCATAGTCATCAATATCTGGAAATATTATACGATCTGGCATCTGTGCTGAAATTTTTAATACATATTTAAGTGAAATCTTAATTAAAAAAACAATTTTTTTTATGATTTTGTTTGAATCACCTACCCAGTGCCGTAATAGTCTGCACTAGTAAAATGAAAAGGTGTTTTAATTGCATTGCAAATGTTTACTATATGTATACTAGTTGGTAATCTTCAAAATATTGAGGTTTTTAAATTTCAACACTTTTGACACCAACAACGTTTTTTTAGTTCCCTTGTTTCAATGCCTGTATTTGTTTGCACATTTGCCATGAAACTGATAGTCTAGTTTGCGAAAGCGAAAGCATCGAGTTTTAATTTGGAAAAAGTGCGATAAGCCGGGTTACACTGACACAGATTTTAATATATACTATATTATAAATAAAATAAAATAAAAATCCATGTTTATTTTTCTGTAATGCGTTATCAGCACATCGCCACATACCCTCGTACTCGTATCTTTATACATACAACAAACATGTAGTGCATATCCACTAGGGTGGTCCAAAAAGAGTAAAGTCGGATGTTTATGCTCTCACTCCCTAGGATTGTTCTATACCAAAAAAATATACCCCTATTTTATATTTTGAAATCAAAAAATATTATATATGCTCAAAGTGCTCAAAATGTTCAAATTGTTTTATATGGGAAAAACACACAACTTTTCGTAGAAATGGTATAGAATTCTTGAAAATCCATACTTTTTGAGCGGAATCTCTTCTGGAGGCTCCTAGTAATAATAACCAATTATTTATTTAAGCAGTTTTTTTCATAGTAACTATATTTTAAAGGTCCGCAAAATTCACGGAAAATGCAAGAAAATGCAATGGAGTGATAAATAAAAAATCTTTAGTATTAAAAAAATGGTTAAGTAAATAATTGCATATCGTTATTGGAAGTCTCCTGAAGAGAAAAAATATTGATTTTCAAGAATTATATACAATTCCTACCAAAAGTTGTTTTTTATTAACCGACTTCCAAAAAAGGAGGAGGCTATCAGTTCGTCGGAATATTTTATTTTTATACCTTTCATGAGCATGAAATGGTATTATAACTTGGGTCCGATGTTTGTAAGTACCAGAATAAGAAGAGATAGACCCATTAAAATGTATACTTAAATGATCAGAACGGCGAGCTGAGTCGATTTAGCCATGTCCGTCTGTCCGTCTGTCCGTCTGTCTGTCTGTCCGTCTGTTTGTATACAATCTAGTCTCTCAGTTTTCGAGATATCCGGATAAAATTTGGTAGGTGGGTGTATTTTTATAATGTATTAATCATTTGTCGGAACCGGAAGAATCGGACCACTATAACATATAGCTCCCATACAACTGATTGTTCAGATATGAGATTTTTCGTTATAACTTCTCCATTTATGCAGCTGGGAACATGGCATTCCGCAATATTTCCATCCATTATAAAAAACATGCTTACAGTGAAAATGGCGAAGATCGGGTCGCTATAACCTATAGCCTCCATACAACCGATTGTTCAGATTCGAGATTCATTGTTATAACTTCTCCATTTATGCAGCTAGGAACATGAAAATTTGTATTACTTCTACCCATTATCAACAGAAAACTTAGAGTAAAAATTACAAAGATCGGGTCACTATAACCTATAGCTCTCATACAACTGATTGTTCAGATATAAGATTTTTCGTTATAACTCCTCCATTTATGTAGCTAGACACATGAAATTTTGCACTGTTGTCACTTATTATCAAAAGAATACTTTCAGTGAAAATGATACAACTGATTGTTCAGATATGAGATTTTTTGCCATAACTTCTTCATTTATGCAGCTAGAAACATCAAAATTCGCACCCTTTTCACTCATTACTAACATAATACTTACAGTGAAAATAACAAAGATCGGGTCACTATAACATATATCTCCCATACAACTGATTGTTCAGTTATGAGAATTTTCGTTATAACTCCTCCATTTATGTACCTAGGAACATGAAATTTTGCAATACTTCCACCCATTAACACCAGAATATACAGTGAAAATAACAAAGATCGGGTCACTTTTACATATAGCTCCTATACAACTGATTGTTCAGATATGCGATTTTTTGTTATAACTACTCCATCTATGTAGCTCGAAACATGAAATTTCGCCCTATTTTCACTCATTAGCAACAGAAAGTTTACAATAAAATTAACAAAGATCGGGTCACTATAACCTGTTTATTGCCCCTATATAACTGATTGTTCAGATATGGGGTTTTACTGAAAAACTCCTTTATTTGGACAGCTAAAACCGATAAATTTCGTACGCTATTTTTTAAATAATAATACAAAGTCTACTGAGAAAATCGTCAAAATCTATACTGTATAATCATAATCTCTTGTACCACTGATTGTTCAGATACCAGTTTTTGCGATATATGTATCTCCTTTATGTAGGAAGCTAAACCCATTAAATTGTGTTACCGGCTTACGTACCGATCACACAGTAGTGAAAATCACTTAGATTGGTGCTATATAAGGTATATCTTCCATACCTCTGATTGTTTAGATATGATTTTTTATATATGTATCTCCTCTGTCTATGCCTGCTGTGAATATATAAATTTATTCAAATGCAGTAATCTGTTAAAGTAAAATTTTCAGATGCTCATGAAAGGTATGAAGTCTTCGGTATAGCCGAAGACAGCGCTGCTCTTACTTGTTTTTTGTTATGTATGTTACCCCATAACCTTAGAACACGTCAACTGATCTCGATAATTCTTTGAAAGGTCGGAAAGGTAGTGTCTCAGAGGTGGTCCCATACACTCTGGTTTAGGCCCGATCATTGGATCATGAAAAAATTAACGGTACTCCTAAATTTTTATATGAGAATTGATGTCGGTTTTGTTTTTTGCTTAAAAATTACTAGTTTTTACAACGCTTTTTATCAACTTACAATGTTGTGTGTCCAGACAGAATTTTAGCAAAGTTTCTATACAACCCAATCTAGATATCAACCTCGCCTACCGGCCATACCAAAAACCGACCTCGATCATATTAAAGACTCTAGAGGTAGATGTCGCCTCGCCGCTAGCAGTTATATATTGCAGCTAAAAATATGCACTATATATGCTACAGCGGAAATGGACGACACGCCATTTCTTTAAATGAAGTTAATTCGTGCTCGTATGTATGTACATGCTAGGGTTATTTCGAATGTCATATTTTTCACATTCGTGAGTGCGAATGCGAATGCGAATTTTCGGGAATGCGAATGTTAAAAAAGTTATAATCAAAGTCATCGTTTTTATTACATAAAAATTTTGTAAATTATTCGAACATTGAACGTGTGCTTAACCTATACAGAGTTTTAATCTAGTTGTCAAAGTTCAAAAGGGGCATATTATATTAAAAAAAAGTAATTTCACTTGGAACGCTGCCGGGTGAAGCGGTCAAATACTTGCGGGCCAGATCTGTCAATTTGTCGTATTTTAGTTTAACTTTCCACCAATCGAGAGGCTTTTCGAAGACATGAGCTCGTTTTTCTTTAGGATAGGCCTTCAATCGAGACCACACATTTCACATTTTTTAATGTTTTCAGATTTTTAGATAAGACTTTTAACAGTACTTGTTGAAGGCCCATCAATGTTGCTTAATAAACTGCTTAACCGTTTATCGCCTGAAGCTAAAATCCGGTTATTGTCCGCATCCTGGTTAGACAGACTTAGAGCCATTTCAACAATATTAGAGTGGACTCTATGCCCGTGTACACATTCGCATTCGCAAAACATTCACATCATTTGATGCTTATCCGAATGTGTAAAATGATGCCAATCAATCGCATAACGAATGCGAATGCAAATGTTCACAACATCCCTGATACATATATATCGTCACCTGAAATGCAAAAATACGTAACAAACATCATCGCTCAAATGCAATAAGTCATAACTAATCAAAAATTTAAAATTCATGTTTTGATTTATATGATCGATTTCATCGAATTACAACTACTCACATCCCACACCGGCCTTTATATTTCCCAGCTCCGAAAGATTTGCGGGATGGGAAGAGGTATTGGACTCAACCCTAACAACAGATGGTATTGTCGTCGATGACTGGAGAGTATCCAGTGAAACATCCATGCCAGATCATTTTTGGATACTCTTCAGCATTCGCGGAAAAACCACTACCTCTTCCCTATTTCGGAATTCGACAAGAACTATATGGCAAAAATGTATCAGGCTAACGTCAGATAACCTAGACAGCAGTAAATCAAAGGAGATTACAACTGCTGTAGAACTAGAAAACACAGTAGATAAACTGGAAAAAACTCTAGCCATAGCTTTTAAAAAATCCACACCTTAAGAAAAAATCCCCTCCATGGTGGACGGGGGAGCTTAGGGAGCACAGGTCAAATCTCAGAAATATCTACAGCTACAGAACAAAAATGTGGCAGCCACACAAATATGAATTAAGGCAGTACAAAAAATTAGTAAAGAAAGCTAAAGCGGACTTTTGGCAGTCCTATTGCACAACCATAGGGATTCCGCTAGACTAGGCAAAGCTTTATCCAAGGAACACATCAACCCCAACCTTATTAACGGAGAGGACGGTGCATGGACAAGGACAGAGGAGGAATTACTAGAGACCCTCATAATTACACACTTTCCTGGCTGCGATCAGAGGCCAAAAACATAGCCTCATACAAATCGTCAGCAACTCTTACAAAAGGTACTCGACTCAATCGTAGACAAGGAAAAAATTAAGTTCGCTATAAATAAATTCTCCCCATACAAATCCCCTGGCCCAGATGGCATCATTTCGATAATGCTCCAGAAATTACAGGAGCCTATGGTACCCTGGCTGGAAAGAGTCTACAAAGCCAGTATCATCTTGACATACATTCCGAAAAGCTGGAAAAGAGTCAAAGTTGTCTTCATTCCCAAACCGGGAAGAAGAAATCACGAAAAAGCAAAAGACTTCGGACCAATAAGTCTTACATCTTTTCTGCTAACGGAATTGGAAAGACTTTTAGACCTACATAGAAGGCATTTTCTGGAAAATTCCAAACTTTCCAAAGATCAACATGCATACGTTAAGGGCAGGTCAACTGAGACTGCCCTTCATGAAGTCGTGCACACACACAGAAAAATGACTCCACTACAAGCAGTACACTCTGGCGGCATTCCTCGACATAGAGGGGGCCTTCAAAACCCTTACAATCGTAGTAATTGTTCGATCCCCAAGGGGAAGTTCTGTCTCCGCTACTATGGGTGGTGGTACTGAACGACATTCTACTGGATCTCAACAAAGGTGGAGTGAAAGTAGTAGCATATGC